GACAACAAAGTTTCTCAGAGAGGGTTGGGCATTTTTTTTTTTTCCGAAAATAGTTCAGAGGTCATCCAGCCCAGCGACCTCACTGGACCCGGACTGATTTCTACATGAGCACTTTTTTTATCTGAAGGTCATCAAATTAAATGGACCTGCATTTTGAAAAGTGAAATAGAATATTATAGTCCAGGAAAGATGTGAGTGTTCATGCTTCTCCTTTGATGTTTTAATTTGTTACAGCAGAGACCAATCTGCTGTAGGTCCTTGTGGATGACATATAAAAGGAACACACTGATGTGTCTTCTGTTTTATGATTTTTTTAATAGTGTCTTCTGTTTTATAATTTTTAACAGTTCAAGTTGGTATATCACTACAGGCTGGCAGGCAGGCATAGCACAGCACAGAGGCCCCTCCTATATCGAGACCTAGGCTTATCTACTACGTATACCCACCCCTTAGATGTTTGTCCCATGGCAGTTCTCAGGGACTGCTCCTCACTCTATACTTGGTGGTCATTCTTAAATAAAGGTATCCAGGGGACCTTGTGTTGAGGATCAAACCTGAGCATATAGCACACAAAATACAAAGCATGTGCTCCCCTTGAGCCACTCCTGAAATACACAGACTTTTGGGCCACACCCGACTGTGCTCAGAGTTTACTCCTGACTCTGTATTCAGGGCTTACTCCTAGCAGAGCTTCAGAGACCACTAGGGATGCTGGAGATTGAACCTGGGTCTTCTGGGTGCAAAGCAAGTGCTCTAGATTATGTGCTGTCTGTCTAGCCCTTAAAGGGTAATTGTATAGGGAAGCTGAATCTTCCTGAAGCCTTCCTAATTGGTGAGAGTCTGACTGGGTTCCTATCCCTTCCCAGTCCTCAGCCCTGTCAACATGCCATGACTTTATTGGGACATGGTAGGCTCTCACCTCTAACAGATGCCTGTTTCCCAGATACCTGCACACCTTTTGGTTACTGGTCATCTAACTGTCTCTACCGGAAGTCAGCAGGAAACTCAGGGACCAGCACGCCACACCGAGTTTCAGTGACTGGGCTGTCATAGGCACTCACCCACTGTGTTTTAATGTTTGGGCCCATTTTAAACATTTGCTGTTTGAAGTGACTTCCACGGAGGTGAGAGTAATCATTCTCAGATTACAGGGTAAATGGGTGATTTTTTTTTTTAAATGTATGACTTTGGAAATCACCACCTGCAAATGATGTGAAAAGAGTTGAGGAGAGCAGTCTAAATGACTGAGTGAAAATGAGTAACTAGTCTGAACTCTTTCCACGAGGTAAGTAATCCTTCAGAGACAAACTAGAGTCTGGAGCCCGAGAAACCCATAATTGCATATTGGCACAGCTATCACTGTTCGTGTTGGGCTCTCATTACAGCCTGAAAGATAGGGGTGTTGCCATCTTCAGATTAGAAGACAGATGGGGTGTGGGGGTTGATGTGTTTGAGAGGTGGGGGGTCTTATCAAGGGCTGGTGCCAGCAGAATACTGGATACCCCTGTGCCGTGCTACTTCAACTATAGATAGATCAGTGTAGGCTGTGAGAGTTAATGCTGTCGTAGCTCACCTGGGGGCAAATCTGGAGGTCTGGGGGGGTCTTAAGCAACTCTTTGGGTGGCGGTGGCGCCGGATAGAATTAAATGCTGTTGTGTTAAATGCTGGTATTTCAGTTTGGAAGGAGCTCCAAAGGGCAGCTTTCTAGTCCAGCCTCTCTCTGGATGCCAAATGTCCCCTGTAGCACCGCAGTGACCAGTCCTGGTGGCCACTGTTCTTGACTTGTTCGTGCAGGGGCTCTCACTGGCCGTCCCGGAAGGCAGCATCTGCTCTTGATGTGAGCAAGAGGGGATGCTAAAGAAGCAAGCTGAGTGTGAAGGGGATTAGAAACCACCCACAGCCTTTCCCATCTGGACAGCATGTGTGTGAAAATGAGTGGAAGGCCAGACTCTAGGCATAGAGTACTATAAGTCAGACAGAGGAGTCCTTCCTGGATCATGGGTGGGGTGGTATAGGAATGCTTATTTACTGCAGTACCTGTGGCCCTTCTTGGGGCCTGTAATCTCCACATTCTGCAGTGTTGAAGTTAGTGTACGTAGTACTTCGTCCTCCCTTCACTCCTCCCAATCTCCCCATCTCTACAAGACCAAATGACTGAGGAGTTTCCAAACATTCATATAATTTGGTTTCCAAACCTATGAGGTCCCGTAATGTCTCTCACTAGTGTGAATCTTTTTGGAAAGCTGGCCTGACCCAATGGATGTGCCACAAAATGACCATGACCATCTTAGCGTGGCCTTGAGGGGTCAACTTCCCTCACCCCAGTGTGAAAATGACACATGCACGTGGTTTGTGAGGGCCAGTTTCTTCCCACCACCCTTGGCACATGGGTGGCTGCATAGCCTGCTTCTTGGTGGGCATGAGCTGAACTTTGGAGTGCTGGGGGACCATTTGGTCATTTGGAGTGCAGAACTCTCAGCTTTGTGCTAGCAGAACATGGCGAAGGAAGAGGAAGGGAAACTAAAGTTTGTAAGATCTGCACGAATCCTGACTTAAACTGCCTGCCTATATACCATGGGGCTTATGGTTCTGGGGACCGTGGTATACACTATCAGGATTCTGTTGCTAAGCTGCTCCTATTTGGGGTTAGAGGTTTGGATCACATCTGGAGATGCTTAGGGATTATTTCTGGTTCTACACTCAGGAATTACTCCTGGCATTGCTCAGGGGACCATATAGGATGCTGGTGATTGAACCCGGGTTGGCCATGTGTAAGGCACTATACTATCACTGGTCCTTAAGCTTTTCTTTTCTCTTGGAATAATTATACCTTAAGTCTATTTCAGCAGGGAGCAGGGCACACCGGGTGGTATTTGGAAGACCTTGAAGCACTGGGGATTGAACTTGGGGCTTCCACATCCAATGCCTGTGCCTAGCCAGCCTTTTCCTGCCTCCCCCACCAAAGTCTCTTTTAAATCACAGTCATCCCTCAGATACAAGCACATGGAGTTTATCTAATGAACTCTTAATTATTTAAAACCAAGAGCAAATGTGCCTTTTTCTTCTGTGCATTCCAGCAGCCATGGTTTATTGAGCACATGGTTTATTCAGCACATATGCTGAGCTAGAAGACCCTGCCCTTTATTTACATAGGCCCTGTTTGTTTGTTTGGGGTGGAGGGCTCTGGCACCACACCCAACTCTATTATGCTGTGGTGGGTGGGGAGGGAGAGTTCCTCCTGGAAGTGCTCAGGGAGGGCACCATGCTGGGGATCAAATCTGGGCTGTTTACATGCAAAGCAAGTGCTCAAACCTAGTGAGCTGTCTCTCCTGCTCCTTAGTCCATTCACAATGGAATCTCCTTCCCTTCCCGGTAGCCCTCAGCCCTTGTGGGATCAAAGATTGCAGGGCCTGCTGGTCTGACCCATTTCTGAATGAGTGTCTGAGTTGTACAACTCCCTAGAAAAAAAAGCTAGAGCCATTTTTTCAGGCCTGGTTCAGTGCTTGTGAGCATTCCATAAAACGTAGACACCTGAGGGAAAATGATAGACTTCCCAAGTTAGATACCGCCCCTCCCCCGCGCCCCATGATGCAGAGACTTTGCAGAGACTTGGGGGGCTGGTGATGAAGAGTGAGGACATGTGCACTCAGCAGAAAGGGGTGAGGGAGCTGGCTTAGAACCCCCCACCCTGACAGGAAGCACATGTCACTGCCTTTCACCTGCACAGGGGCTGACAGGCATTTCCTGGCCATTGTTCAGTGGGGCTGCCACAGTGCTATTTCCGTCCCCCAGTGAAGTGGGCTGGAGCGGGCTGAGCTCTTCCAGGCCTGACTTTTGTGTGCCAATGGCCCCGGGAAGTGTCAGCCTCTGGCCCCAAGGGCACTGACTTAACTGTCTTGAGGAAAAAGGAGATCCTCAAGTATAAAAACAAACATGGCAGCCCCCACCCCACCTGTGTGCTCCAGGTCACTTCCTGTCCCCACATAAACTTTTTTTTTTCTTTTTGGGTCACACCCAGCGATGCTCAGGGGTTACTCCTGGCTCATGCACTCAGAAATTACTCCTGGTGGTGCTCGGGGGACCATATGGGATGCTGGGAATCGAACCCAGGTCAGCTATGTGCAAGGCAAACACCCTACCCACTTTGCTATGACTCCAGCCCCCACATAAACCTTCTTGCTTGTTTTTTTGCCTCCTGGTTCTTTACCTGGGGGAGCTGCTGCTGTTAAATGCGCCCACCTTGGCGGATGACTCAAGTCTCAGAGATGCAAAACCTTTCCCCTCAAAAGATTCACTGGGGAAAGCATTTGGTTCTTGGGGTTTTGTGTGCAAAGGAGAGATTTGGGGTTGGATGTGTGTGCAAGATCAGGTTCCTCTCATTATGAGCCCGAAGCTTAAAGGTCTATTTTCAGCCACTAGGCATCCCCCCACCCCCCCACCCCCAGTCTAGTTGCCCGTGCTGCTGCTGCAGTCTGCTATGGCCGCGTGGATGAAAGGTCTCACTCTGCCCGCACTGTATTGTGGGCAAGATGAAAGCAGGAAAGTGGAGTAAGAGGAAACTGGTCGCTGGTGATTTCTCTTTTTAGAAGCATGAAGTAGTAATTGCCATCTCTCAGTCTGTATTTACTTCATCCTCACTTCTTATGCCTGTTGTTTTCAGAAGTTGGGGGTGTGGGAGGTGGGGTGGGGGACATTGTTCATCTTTTCATAACTTGAATGCTGTTCGGGACTTTCTCATCCTAGAGGTGGCCACAGAGGGTGGAGCCCTCATAATTACTGCTGCATCCTCCAGAGTTGACCCCTGTGCCCACCCTCCCTATTTGGGTGAGGATACTTTGAGGGGGAAGCAGTCCCCACTTCTGCACTTTTTTTTAACACATGCACAGAACTGTGTTCCTAACCGGGGTCTGGCTGGGTAAGAAAGAAGGGAGGAGGATGTGTCAGACAGTTTGTGGGGAGAGCCCGGGCCCTATCACAAACATGCTCTGTTGTCCCCTCAGCGTGGAGCCTGCCACCCCGACGGTCCTGGCAGCCGCGCCCGGATGAGGCCTGTGCAGTATGTACAGTGTCCAAGACCTCCTGGTCTCTCATGGATACAAGCTGTCGAAGAACACCGCGGCCCCCCGCGAAGAGAGCCCCGAGGGGCGACAGCGCTCGCGGGCCAGAGGGAGGACTGGCCAAGGCCTGCTGAATGGCTGCGAGGATGGCCGCGCTGCACCCGCACAGAGCAAGGCCACCGGGGGCAGAGGACGCCCAAGTGATGCTGAAAGCAGCCGCCGCCTCCAGAGAGCCCGCGGGGAGCCGCAGAGTGGTTCGGCGTCCAGATCCTCGGATGTGGGGTGAGTGTCCATGGGTGAGAACCCACCCATTTCTATGGGCTTGGAGGGGGGCCGGGCAGTGGCAGGCCTGGAAGCGAAATCCTTTCCCACTTGTCATGGGGAGGAGGGAAGAGAAGAACCCAGAACGCTCTCGTCTGTCTCGGGTCTGGAATGTTCCAGCAGCATGGCTAGACTACGCCTTCTGTCAGGAGGGATGTGTGGACTAATTCATGCACTGCAGAGTGTTCCTTGCCCAGTGGGCACTAGAGCACATCAACATGGTATCTATCGGGAAGCTGCAATGTAAGGTGTCAGGTGTTCTTTGGCATACGTTTCAAGGGATTTGGGGGTGGGGAGCGGGGATGAGGGAGAACGTGGCAGCTCCCCGCTACCCTCTGTTTTGAGGAAGCAAACCTTTCTCCTCGTCATAATGGAGTTCGCCAGCTGCCACCCCTCCCTGGGGGCGCACGCACTGGCCCTCAGTTGGACATTGAAGCTGGGCCTCCCCTTTCCCTATCATGGGAAAGAGGACAGTTGGGCCAGAGGCCCGCGGTTGGCGGGGGGGTGAAGGAAGAGGGAACTGTGACTGCTTGCCCCACGGCCCCCATCTGGGCAGCTCCGACCCAGAGGCAACCTAGGGTGTCCCTTCATCAAACCATTTTTGGGGACTCGGCTCTTCTGTTTGCGCCAGGCACGCAGAGTAACCAGCAAGACGGGGAGGATGACGGTGCAGGTGACGCTGAGGGGAAACACCTGGCGCGGGCAGACACTTAAGGGTCTGGGATTCAGGGCTGAGGGGAGTGGACGAGCATTCCCTGGTTGGAAACCCAGAATGGACCCCTGGGGTGGTCGAGAGCTTCCGGGCAGCAGCGGGAGGGCCTTTTGGATCACCGTTCAGGATGGTTAGCGTCCTGGGTGTTAAGCAAAAAACCAAGACGGAGGCCTCTCCTTAGGCCCTGGGGAGTCAGAGCTGCTTCCCAGCTGAGCCCCACCTCTCTGGGGAGGCCAGCAGGGCCAGGGCCAGGTTCAGGAGCACAACTGGAAGCCCATCTCTGTGGCCTCCTTCTTCAGACTCCCACTGTCTTGATGCTTAACTCTCTTTTCTGCATGTTCTCACTGTGGATTGGAGGAGATGGTGCTCCCGGCCTTGCCGGCACCCCCTGAACCGTCTTCCTCCCCCCACCTTCCCTTTCCTTCTCCCTTTGCCCTGAGTTGTGTTGCGACCTTCTGTTCTGGCTTTTGGGGCACCGAGGTGGGATTTGGACTCCCCCTTTTCTGTTTTCTAATGAGCTTAATACTGGGCATACTGGGCACACTGGGTTTGCGATGGACTTGGTCCCCACTTCCCCCCACCGCCCACTGCGGCGGGAAAGCAGAGGGCTGGGGGAGTCCTGTTGGGGGTGGGGGGGATGTGGGGTTTCCCTGGCAGTCTTGAAGGGCTGGGTCAGAAATCAGAATTGGGTTTCGAGTGGGAGGTAATGGAGTAGAACTCGCTGTAGACAACGTGGCACTGGGCATGCATGTCTGTTCCCTCTCCGGACCCTGGGTGATGAGCAGCTTCCGGAGACCCCTGAGGGCCCAGCAGCCCTGGTTCTGGAGGAATGGATCTGCAATGACCTTCCAGGCCTGAAGGAACTTCGCAAGCGAGTGGGGTGGCCCAGAGCCGTCCTGGACCCCTGCTGCTGAGGCTAAAGCTGGCTGGCTCACCGGGCAGAGGACTAGGAACTCTTGGACTTAAACTTCTTTGCGAAGTCAAAGAGAGTGCCCCTATGTGTGTATTTGTGAAAACCCCTGTTGCTCTTCCAAACTTCAGAGACCAGCCATTGGGCTATTTTGGGTTGAAATGAAAAGGTTTTTTTTTTTTCTTAATTTTTTCCCTTATTTTAGTAGCCAACCCAGAGCTGCCCACAATATGAAAGTCAGACCAAGTTTTTCTTTTCCCCCCATCAGGAATCAAAGATTTTTGAGAGGAAATAGGTGCTAAGTGCTAAAGCTTAAATATTGAAGTTCAGAAGCAAAACACAAACAATATTCCGGCTCTCTGGACTCTGAATTTTCAGTCTGGATGAGCAGATGGTTCTGGGTGAGGTACCAGTATCCCCTGCGGTTCTGCTGCCTGGCCCACCCCTCACAGGGATCCTGTCTGACTGGGCTGGGGTCTGAGGTGGGCCTAGGGGTCCCTCACCAGTGTCCAAGCACCAGTGTGATCTGGAACAGGTCCCAAGGACTCTCCCCTCCTGTGGGTGCCAGGAGGTGTTTGAGACCTTCCTGCACCTGCTCCCTACACACAGACCTTGGGCCAGTCCTTAGTACTCCCGTGACAGCTAGTTTGGAAGCCACTGAGACGGGAAGAAGGGTTGGTATGAAACGTTTGCCCGTGGTGGCAGAGAGACAGGCCTGTTGGCAATTTTACAGCCAAAGACTATGATGCCCGGAGAATGTCGGGGGACCTATGGCAGCAATGGAGGAACTCTGGCTGGCGTCCCGTGCCCTGGGTGGTCACACAGGTTGGAGGTGGCCACTTCCGGGCTATGCGGGGCTAGCCGAGCCTCACTGAAAGGACCTCTGGGTTCTCAGGGGCTCCTTTTGTGAGGGTGCCATGCCAGACCCTCCTTTCTCTCACTTCCTCCACCTCCCTCGGGTCCCTTGGGCATGGCTGCACACACAACAGCTTGAGTACGTCTGTGCCCCCTTGCCTGTGCGGGGTGGGGGTGGGGGTGGGGGCTTCAGAGGGCACACCTGTCCTATCTAAATCAGAGACAGTGCCCGTAATGCCACCTCCCTGCACCCCGCCAACTGTGCTGGGACTGCAGGAGCTCAGGGTTCTACCCCAGCATCATTGGCCTCAGCTTAGAAGGTGTTTCTTTGAGTTTTGTTTGTTTGGTTTTGTGTTGGGGCCACACCCCGTCCTGCTCAGTGCTTACTCTTGGCTCTGTGCTCCAGGATCACTCCTGGCAGGTATGACCCAGTTACGTGGTGCCGGAGAGAGAACCCAGGTCCGGCCACGTGCAAGACAAGTATCCTACCTGCTGTACGACCACTCTGGCCCTAGATCTGAGTCTTTTCAGTGAGGGCAGGTGGGATCCAAGAGAACTTCAGAAAACCATAAAAACAGGACTCTGCCAATATGGAGCCTTGGGCAGATATAGAGTGCTCACTGCTGTCAGATCCCGTAAGGTGGAGCCCCAGGATGGGGAGAGACGGGTACAGAGGGTCCCAGGGCCCAGTAGACAGGCAGAAGAGCAATAGGGCAGGGGGGAGGCGTGTTGATCTGGTTTATGGAGATTCCTGATGAGAGTCGCTGTTTGCCAAAGGTTCTGCTGTATCCATGCATCAAGCTGCCCTGTGCTCCGCACACATGAAGCCCAGGCCCCAAACACCAAGCCCTATTTCCCTATCCATTCATTGCTGGAACCTCACCGTAAGGGCTCAGCTTCTCCAGTTGAATCACCTCTTCCCCATATGTTCTTCCAGCACTGTCCCCTAGTCCCCAAGACTGTCAGCTTCCCAAGGGCCAACACAATTTCTCACTCATCTCTTGATGCCGCTACTTCCTACTGCTGAAGAATTTGTATGTTGTGGGGGCTCCCAGGCAGTGGTTAAAGGGAGATCAATCTTGGGGTGTTATCGGCCAGCTGGGGTTGTTGCTTCATCAAAAGGGCTGGAGAATTGCACAAGCCCTGCAGCATTGCAGATACCTGAGCTTCAGGCAGTGCTAAGCCCTGGGAACCACACCCCTCACCATGTTGGGGCAGCATTGTTCCTGAGAATCAGACCTGCCTGGGTCAGACCTGGGTCAGGAGCGTGCCAGGCCTGCGCTCGAAACACAGGCCTATCTCCCACCCTCTCGAGAATTTTGAATTAGCATTCTTTTTTCAAAAATAGGTTAGATTAAGCTCACACTTAGGTGCCGAGTGCCAAATATTTTGAATCTCTGGGCTCAAATGAGGCCTGGGGCGGGGCCATTGGCCAGTGGAAAGACCTCTGGGCGGTAGTTTCAGAGGGTACTTAAGGAAGGGGGTGCTGGGCTTCTCAGTCTGAGCTGGGGGGTGGGGGTCAGGGGACTGGAGAGGTGGGGAAGCATGGTGTAGACCAGCCTTGCTAAGTCCTGGAGGAGGAAAGAAAGGTCAGAAGCCCAGCCAGACTCCTGGGGGTGGTACAGTGTGTGGGAGAGGTACCCTCCTTTGTCGGTTCTGTGGGTGCAGAGATGGGCAGCTCTGGCATGAAGGAGTGGGGGGTACCTGCGAGGATGGAGTCTGGCACCTCAAGGACTCTGACGGTGGCAAATGAGACTGACTGCCCTGGTGCTCATTCGGTGGTGGGTGGAGAAAGCTGGGGACAAAGACCGACCCCTCCCAGGATGTCTCTCTCGGGGTGGGGAATCTTGAGAGGCCCTTCTTGATCTCTACGCTTCTTTCCTGCCCTGCACTGCGTCCTCACACTCCCCCACCCACTGTCCACACTCCTTCATGTCCCCATGGCTACAACCTCTTCCTATGGCCGCCATTTTCTTGGGATTCTGGTAACTTTTTCTGGTCTTGCGTCTCCTCATTCTCCTCTACCTCCATGTCTACCTCCTCCTTCTCTTCTCTTCTTTCCTGTTCTCTTCCTTCTTTTCCTCCGTTGCCTCTTCTTCTGTTATCTTGGGCTATACCTGTTGATGCTCAGGGATAACTCCTGGCTCTCTGCTTAGGAATAATTAGGGACCACATGGGGTGCCGGGAAATGAACCAAGGTCGGCTGTGTGCAAGACAAGAGCTCTCCCCACTGCTGCACTACCTCTTTGATGCTTGCATGCTCTTCCATTGCGTGGATTTGCTCCAGAGCACCCTCACTGACACTCTGCATCACTTAATTTGATAGTTTGAAAGAATGGTGAGTTTGAGGCAGCTTGTAGAAGCTTTGACAGTGCCGAGTGTGTTTCCAAAATGTGGGGACAGGCAGAGGGGCTGGCTGTGGGGAAGAGGGCTGGGCAGTGAGTAGGGAGTGACCAGGCTGGGCTTTGGGCTGTGGCTAAAGCA